ATTTTTTTTTATTTTTATTTATTTATTTATTTATTTTTTTTTATCATGAAGTCCGAAGGATCTGTTTGCGTATTTAAAACTGTATATTTGTGTAATTGTAAGCTTTGTATATTGGAAAAATCAAAGACGTACTGTACTGCGAAGGATTTCTGCCGAAGTGTCATATTTTATACTTTAATAATTTAAGACTCTTAAATAAAGACGTGATGTTTTTTGTATGGTTTATTATGCCTCAAGTGCTCATTTCATCCATCTTTTCTGAAACGTTTGTCGTACACTGAGTTTTGGTCGCGTCTCTCTTCGTAATCGTCGACGCGCTTCTGTCTCGCGATGAAAATCACCACAATCCTCTTCGACCGACAAGTTTCCCTGTTTTTCCGGACATCCTCCGATATGTTTTTCCACCGTCTCTTTCAGTCTTCGTCGTTCGTTGCTTTCCAACTCGTCTGACCGTTTTATCGGCCTTTGACGTCTCTCGTATTCATCATCCACATGTTCTCCTCTGATTTTCCTGATCTGTTGGCGTAAATTTGCGTGCCTTGAGGACGTCGCCTCGCTTCTGTTCTGTAATTCTACTCTTTTCGCGTTAATTTTGATTAAATCAGTTTCTTGTTCTCTCGCTTCATGCTTCGTTGCGTTTGCTGATTTTTGTTGAGTCTTTCCAGGTTGGTATTTTATCGTCCAATTTAGGTGGCATTCTCGCGACGGGCAGCGCCATCTTTTGTCTTCTATGTCGTCTCTTGTGTTTTTTATTTTTGTTTGCATTATTTTCCTCAGTTTGGTCAATCTTGGGCAATTCCTTCATGTTCGTCTGGTTATTACAAACATTTCTCGTTCTCTGTGAATCGTTGGGAATGTCCGAATCAGTTTTATGGTTGCCTTTTGCACTTCCTTCGTTCATATATTTCTCAGTTTTTGGTCCGTCTGCCGTGTTTTCCTCTCCATCATTCTCCGGTCCACCATCCACGAGGGTTTCTGGTGGTTCTGGGTCATGCATTACGGTATGAGGGAATGATGCATGATGGGATTTGTAGTTTTGAAGACTGAAGCAGCTGCATGGAGTGGCAGAATCAAGTTCATACAAAGTCTCGTGTTTTTGGTTTCCATCAGCTTCTGGACTAAAGTCTTGAAGAGTTTCTTGGACTGAAGCGTTTCGATCCGTTTGGGAACTTTGGCTCTCAGGATTCGCTTGCAGAGGTTCAGTAAACATGTGAAACACATGTTGGTCTTCGACGTTATCCTGAAATGGCGCTAATATGTTTTCCATCATGGGATCTTCAGATAAGAGGATATTTGTGCCATTAAAGGGGCTTATATCACGTTGGGCATCAGACGGAGGAAAACTCTTGGTGTGAGTCCAGTCTGAGCATCCAGCGACTGGCTCGGGATTGTCCTTAAAGACGTCTGAGATGTTCTGGTCAGAGGAGAGCAGCGAGCTGATGTAGTCCATGTCGAAACCAGTCTGAAAGACAGAATAAAAGCAGTATAAATGATAAACAAGGCTCCGGGGCAAGACGCTTCATTAGTGTGTTTTAATTTACCTCCAGAGCGTCCATGACCTGTGAGTATTTTCTACATCTTTTACCTGTTTTCTTCACTGAGCCGTGCTGCAGACGATGACCTGAAGACAAGCTCAGTGTTTACTGTTTATTTTAATCATAGATTAAGTTTAGTTTACCCCAGTGACAAATAAATACACTTAAATGTATTTGAAATGCATTTATTTCATGCTAAGCATACTACAAATATATTTTCATACGTATGTACTTAATAAAATACCCTGCAATTGTACTTTTAGTATAGTATACTACTAATCTGGTAAACTTAGAGTCTGCTAAATTGGAACAACTAATTTTGCACTTAATGCACTTTAATTGTGCGGAAGTAGTGCAACTAAAGATATACTGAAGTATATTTGACTGTGCTAATGTGGAACTACTGCAACTGGTACACTTTAAGTATTTTGCATTTAAAGCCAGATATTATACAATTATCATCAAAAGTGACATTAAAAGACATTTTAGACTTAATATTAAGAAATGTGCATTGTGCGCAAGTAATACGCCAAATAAAGTTTAATTATAATTTTTATATGAGTAAGATTTTTACTTCAGCAGATCATCACAGTGCTCAAACAACACATTTTTGGCACACTATTGATCTCTGCTACCACTGAATCTAGATCTGTCTCTGTCAGAAAGAGATGCATTAACGAGAACACTAGTGTACTATTTATGAAGGCTATATCTTTAACACCAAGCATTTCTGCAGACTCTGTATAAATCACTCAATGGCCTAGGACCTAAATACATAGCAGATATGTTCACTGAATATAAACCTAACAGACCACAACACACAAAACAAGGGGAGTCTGCTTTTAGTTATTATGCCGCTCGCAGTTGGAATCAGCTTCCAGAAGAGATCAGATGTGCTAAAACATTAGTCACATTTAAATGCAGACTCAAAACTCATCTGATTAGCTCTGCATTTATTGAATGAGCACTGTGCGATGTCCGAACTGATTGCACTGTATTTTTTGTATAATCATTTTCTATTCTAACTGTTTTAAATTCATGTTAAACCTCTTAAATCAATTTTTAAATCATTTTCAAAGTTTTAAATTCCTTGTCTTATTGTTGTGATTATTTTTTTTTTATTATTTTTTTTTCATTTCTTTTATGTAAAGCACTTTGAATTACCATTGTGTATGAATTATTTATTGTATTTTAGCTCATTTGTATAATAGTTCATATTTAATATTACCATAGGTTTATTTGAATATATCAAGTGGTAGCCAATAACACGTACCAAAAAGCAATAGTAAATAAGGCAATACATAAAGAATATCAACTAATTTTACCATTTGAATTACATTTAATTGTCATTGAATATATGTATATGAATATGAATAATATATTTTTGACAGCACTAATATATATACATAATGTATGTGTGTGTATTGTTATGTATATATAAATATACACACACATACAGCATGTATTTTGAAAATATTTACATGTATACATTTATATTCATATAAATTATATCATATGAATATATTTAATGTATAAACGTAAAATATTTTTCTTAAATATATACATGCATGTGTGTAGGATTTAGATTTAATAAATCAAATAAATTAATCTATGTGTTTTTGCTTAGAATTTTACATTAAGTATTGTATAATATTACTTTTTTTTCAGTCTGTCAATATTGCAAGCAATAGTAAAAGGGCAATATATTAAGAATATCAACCTTTTTTTTAACCATTTCAATGAAATGTAGTAGAATATATATATATGTGACGTATCCAGCTGACTTTATGAGAACTGGATTTCATTCAGAAGCCGAGTGTTTTTTATCACATGATTAATAAGTAGTATTTATTATAACTAACAATGTTCATTTACATGAATAATTATGTCGTACAGTAGGTGGCGGGCTTTTTTCCACACACGTGACCTTTTAAAAACTCAATTTCCCATCCTCCTTTGCGCGGTGTGCCACACTTCCAGTTTGTTTTGGGCTCGCTCGCTACGCTGCGGAATATATAAACCTGCTTTCAGCTCGGAAATCATCGAAATAAACGTTATAACGGTATTATAACGATAGCATATGTTCTAAAGTGTTTTGTTAGTGTATAAAAGTGGCTTTGGCTGATGAAACACTTTTTTTGGTTTCTAGAACGTTCAGGGAACGTTACTTTATGGTTCCCTCAACGTTCTTTTTTGGTTTGCCAAACATAACCAAATGGAAAGGTTCTTTGTCTATTGTGGTGGCACTGAATGATTACCATAGTAATTTACCATAGTGTTTTAAGCAATAATAAATAACATTAGAGACATAATACATGTCGAAAACATAATACCATGCAACTTTAATAACGAGTGGTATTTTATTGTACGGTTTCTCAAGAAAACACAGTGATGTTATGCAGCTTTTGGTATTATTTTGTGCAATCTCAGCTGTGAAATAAAGAGCTACAGTTTTAAGGCATGTTTTGAATAAATGATTTTATGTGTTTTTCTGCAGAAACTGGACCCGGCTGGTCAGCCCACCAGCTCGGCACATCCGGCCCGCTTTTCACCGGACGACCAGTTCTCCAGACACCGCGTGACCATCAAGAAACGCTTCGGCCTGCTGCTGACGCAACAGCCGCGGCCCCTGCTCTGAACACACCGCCAGTGGACTTTACACAATTCATTCGTTTTAATAGAACAATGTGATGTTCACTTTCTCATTACTGAAAATATGGCATCCGTATTTGTTGTTGACTCGGTTTATTCAGTTTAGTGTATTCACGTCATACACACGTGCAGTGCAATAAACTGAGCGATTCGTATATTTGTGTTCCAAATTTATTTGGAAATAAAATGTTTTTTTTTTCTTTTTTGTTAAAAATAAAATGCAAATTAAAGAAATATATATATGGAAATTAAAAATGAGCATTGAAGCCCATTAATTTCAGCGCTTCTCAAGCAGAAAGTTGAGGAAATTACAGCAGTTTTTGGAATTTTAACGCGTTCGTTTACCTCTCGGAAATATGGCCAGTAGTTGTATTTTATGAAACACGTTATAGTTAATGTTTAGTTTTAGATAATCTGCAGTTATGCTATATTTGACGTGAGAAACACGTTAATAGCGATCATAACCAGATGCTATTTGTCATATTTTTAAGTTTGTAGTCTTTCTGCAATCTTTCTCTCATTGTAGGAAGTTGAACGAGTTTCAGTGAAGACTGCCCATTAAAGCAATACAAGAAAGCAGTTGGTTGCCTTGTGTGTTTTTTTTTAATGTTTATTTTTTATTTTTGGGTTAGATTCCGTATTTACTGGCCTTTTGTTAACATTCATTTATATTGTCGTCTTGCATAAATGTCATAAAATAATACTGGGATGTGAGTAATTAATCTTTTAAAATTCAACATTAAAAAAAAAAGCAAAACTTATAAACATTGATGAGCGTTTGATAATGTCTAAATATGCAATGCAAAACATAAAATAAATAAATAAATACGCTATTATGACCGGTGAAATACTTTACAGCAACTAGAGTAGAGCTAAACCATAGACTGTATAAAAACATGGACGTAGTGTCCGTGACGTCACCCGTAGGTTTCCGAAGAGCGTTTTTGAAGCTCAAAGTGGGCGGAGCCGGCCGTCGCCATCTTGGCAGCGCATCACTCCCGGATAATCGAAAATGGGCAAAGAGGCGGGAGCTGGTTGCTGAAGCCACGCCCACATAGCTCGACGGTGGTGACAGCAGCGGCAATCCACCTGTCACTCAAGTGGCCACGCCCTTAATTATGCAGAACTTTAAGGCTTAATTTAATTTAAACAGATGAGTTATAAAAAAGTTCTCCCCCCCCTCACATTTGTCATGAAGGGCAAAATTAGCTATATAGACCAAAATCATTTTTTGAACCAGGCTGTAAACATGTTTTTTTCTGCTGTAAAGTTGGGCATTTTAACATGGGGAGTCTATGTATGAATTACAGTATAAACAATAAGCATATTAGAATTTTTTTTTAATGCTGTCTCTTCATCTCTCCCCAGAATGAAATGCGATTGTAAAACGTAGTTATCAATACACAACCAATGCACATGATGTGTTAATAATCACCAGAAATGCTGCAAACATTGTGAAACTGCTGTCTATCCCACTTAAACCCATTCAAACATACTGACAGCGCGGAGATTCAGTAGCTCTAATGTTATTTTGTCGTTGCCGTGGTGATCGTGTGAGGGGCGGGGCCCGCCGCGTCACATCCGCTCATCTCCAACCCGGAAGATCATGGTGCGCGATCCGTTGGCGTTTTTCCCGCGAGAATCGCTTAGATCGGAGACACACAGAGAGAAGGCGCGGGGAGTATGGAGGTAAGAAGCCCAAAACAAACACCCCAAACTCCGCCAGTCCCGCGGCGAAGCCCACTTCCGCTCCGAACACGTCCAGAGTTCCGACTCTTCTCTAAACACACGCTCAGCTGTTCACACGAGGCTCACCATTACAACCGCTGACACACGCGGTGGGTTTCAACATACGATCTCGTGTAAAGTGTTGTAGAAGTAAACGGACGCATGATACGGAACACGTAATGTTTACACTCTTCAACAGGCCCAGGACATACCATTATCGCTTGAGTGTGGGGGGGGGGAGGGGTCATTCATTAAATGACATATTTAATAACTTATAATGGTGTTTTCGATCTGTTCGCTTTAGGTCTGTATATTTACGTTGTTTTAATCCCGGTTTGAGCACAAACACGGTCGCTCGTTTATAGTTCTCGATGAAACCCACCCCTCGCGGTGTTTTGGTCGCGTCTGGAATCCGTGATTCCGGCTCGATTGCGGGTCCTGCGGCGCACCTCACGCCAGGGATAGAGATCGATAGATGGATATACTGTGTATATACAGAGCTGGGCAGATTACTTACTAAGTGTAATCCGCTACGATAATTGTAGTTAGTAACGTAATCCATTACATTACACATTTTAGGTAATGTAATCAGATTACTTTTAGATTACTTTTAACCCAAGTCATTTGTCACATTGATTTAAACAGCATGATCTCATTCGCTATTGATATACAAATACAAAGAGAAGGAAAATACATGCCGTTCATTGTAATTAATAACATGAAGCGCGTTAAACATCATGCTACTTCCAGATTTCACAAACTTGGGTTTGTAAATAAACTGCAGGGGCTTCATGACTTTAATGAAAAGCTTATATGTGACGCTGAAGCACAAAACCAGTCATAAGGGTCAGTTTTTCTAAACTGGGATGTGTGCATCAGCTGAAAGCTGAATAAATAAGCGTTCCCAACCCTCTACGGACACCTCGGCTAGTACATTTTTTTGGTTTACTTGCCAGACTGAAATACTATACTATACTATATAGTAGGGCTGGGTGATATAGCTAAAAAAATTATCAACGATATCATGTTTCATATCGTTCGGTATCGATAATTATTGACATTTTTTATAACCTTTTTTTAAAACAAAGAGCAATAGAATTTTTTATTTTAATTTAACCACTGTATTTTTAAATAACACAATTTATTGAGACAAACAGCAAATATTTATTTTGTTGTAACAGTCAAGCACACAATAAAAATTAAACAAATATCTAATTTCTAATGTTTTATATGCAGATTAAATAGGTTTTAAGGAAACTTTTGTCTTGTCTCCCGAGGCCACAGGAGAGCGCAATGAGAAATATAATGCGGCACATAATGTCAACGCAAGGAAATAACTGTCTATAAAAAAAGGTGCATTACGTCTAAATTAACTCATATAAATCAAATATAATTTCGTAAATTGCATAAACAATTATGAACAAAACAGTATCATGTATTCATGCATTTCTTAATACAAAGAGCCAAAGCGCCGATCACACAGACTGCATTTAAAAACATGAGACACAGTGAAAAGGAATAAACCTCCACAAATGCGTGACGTGTTTTCTAAAAGTTTAAACTGTTTTAACTGTGCATGGCTACATCTCTTGTGTGAGACTCGAGTGCAGCAGTCATATTTGTCCGTCTAAATAAATGCGCTGAATATGTGTTCTGTGTGAATGGCTTGGTTTGGGTTTTAACCCATTCAAGATCTTCTCTGCATCGAGCTTCTATATTTCTCTAATATATTGAATGAATAACGCAGCAGCGGCGCGTCTCGTGGGCTAGACTAACAAAACATTAAAACATGCAACAACGTCACTTACATCTTCATCACCGCATCTCGCTCCACTGATGACGCTCCCTGACGCACTCCTAACATT